TGGGCTGGGGATGCCTGGAGCTTCTGCTGAGGTTGTGGTGCCCATTGTCCTTGAAGCCTCTGGGAGAGAAGAACTGGGAAGGAGCAGCCAGTCTAGCAGATCAGTGGTCCCAAGCCAGCAGCTTGTGAGAAACCTCAAAGCTACAAGAAATTAAAAAGTTAGAACTGAAGCTGCCAGGACAAAATATGATATCGCTGGTAATGCATTAACTACTCAGTGTTGTTGCTGGTGGCTGATGACCCAGCAATCAAGAACAAGCCATAAGTAAGAAATTACATTGAACGTCACGAACACACAGGGTTCATTAATGTCACATATGAAATGCTGATTAAGTTCTTTGCACAAGGCAAGAACATGAAAAACAAGTACTGAGGTAACACACAGTGTCACAAGCCAGCTGTTGCGCTTAGGCCAGGCACAATGGGCACTAGGCTGGGGAGATGTAAAACTCCTATCAATGAAATTATCTGCTTTATAACAAAAAGAGAAAGCTAGACTGCTATGGAATGAGTTCACTTTCTCCTGAACCAGTAAGACTGTCTCTCGTAGTGTTTAAGTGTGTGTTTTTCAACCATTAATATAACCCTATACCAAATTAATTGAAAATTGAAAGAGTTTTGCTTTCCTGTACATCAGTCGTCTTCTACCACTGGTTTTACTTTAGCAGTCAGTTTGAGAGCTTGAGGTGGTTGTGTCAGTAATATGGTTCAGGTAGTTAACACAGACTGAAGAAGCCCTATAGCTTTTCATTCCGGAGCAGACAACAGACAAGCATGCTGGAGCAGTGCAAGAGAAAAACATAGCTGTCAAGTGCCTCATTGATATTTTGCACTTCCAGTCTCCAATGCTTAGTTAAAGGTCGTTCATCCAAAAGGAATATGGGTATTCTTTAACCTTTCACAGCCTTTCTTGCTCGCTACCAATACACTTTGAAGTCATTGGTAGTATTTCCAGATGTATCTATGAGGAATGCTGGTGTTCATGAACTGACAGGTGGTCTTCTGCTGCTGAACTCAGTAATGAGCTGTTTTTCACTCCAGAAGATCTTCTTCTTCCTCTTTTTTTTTTTTTCTTTTCTTTTTTTCCCCTTGTTGGCCAGGTCATCATTGCCAAGAAAAAAATACTCTACTTTTCATTTATAGCAGGGAAACTTATTCTACTGATAATGGAGTGATCTGAACCCAGGGGTATTGAAAGTAGGTCATTAAGTACTCAGTATAGGAAAAAAGTTTGTTTTCCAGTGTTCTGATTTTACTGGAGGGAATTGTGTTGTTTTCTAAATCTTGGCTTTAAAATCAAAAGACTTCTATAAGCAAAAAATAAATAAATAAATAAAATTGATCATTTGATTGCATCACAAAGAAAATAATTCTATCTAAGAGTAACATATTTTGAATCAGGAATAACATTTTCCATTGATTTTTTTTTTGAGCAATAAAGTGTTTGAAAATAACATTTTTCTATCATTGGACAACATAGATTTTAAAGTCAATAACAGAGCAGATTGCCTCATATTGGAAAATACAGAAACTGTGGCATTGTTTTTTATTTCTGTTTGTCAGTTGGTTGGTATTCAACAAATCAGACCTGTGTGCTACAGCAACAGCACTTACTGGGCTAATCTATGTAAGTGGAAGCTGCCAGGAGTCACTGTGCCCCATGATACTTACAGCAGTGCAAGGTTGCACTCGTTTGTTATGGCCACTAAGGTGCTGTTGGGGGGCTTACCAGAACCTAGCAAGGTTCACATGCTCCCTTCATTCCCTTGGGACAGCCCATCTATCCCAGAAAAGCAACAGTTGATTTTGCAGTCTTCTGGGGTTCTAGCACTGTGAGTTTGCTGTGTGGTAACCTCTTTTCTCCCACTTCCCATATGTATTTTTAGGCAACTGGAACTGAGAGATAATTTGGGCAATTTATTTGGCTGATATGTGGCTCATTCGCTGTCTAAGGGCCCTGAGTACTGATAGGACTGACTTGGGCTGTAGAAGTAGCCGCATGCTTTGCCATGTTGTGCAAGGTGCTGTACGTGTAGTTCAGGTACATATGAAACTGTGGCTGCTTATTGACAATGGGTACCATTAAATGTCAGCAGCTTTTACATGGATGATATCAAGGTAATTAATAGACATGCTATAAAACTCACCTACCTCTCACCCTATCCCTTTTCTGGGCATTTTGACGCGAGCTCACGAAGTAAGGGTTGCATTGCCTATGTGAAATATATCTCTTTATGTCATGGGTTTGCTTTTTTTTTGTTTGCTTCCCACCCTCAACAAATCTCACTGTAATAATTACTGTAACAGAGAGCTTTCTGTGGAGTTAATGTTCTTCTGGCTTAATAGCCCCTGGTTGATGGTCTCAGGCCATCAACTTTTCCCAGCTGGTCATCAATCCTGAAGAAGTGCCTTGTGCCTCTATTATTAATGCTTAAGTAGATGACATTTCTGGTGCAACCTCTGCCTCCCAACGAGATGATATTACAGCCAATAGCATTTCCCCCCCTTGCTTTCAGTATTGTCAAAGCATTATAAACAGCTGGTATGAGAATGTTGTGGCTGTTGGCTGTGAATTTCTCTTGACAATTTTCAGGTGTGAGTTTTGTGGATTTCAATGGAAAGAATCTGAGTGAGGTGAGTGAAAATGACTTGCCTAGAGCAGCTACAAGGGCTCAGCCTCCATACATCATTCCAGAAGTAGCTGGGCAATACCCAAATGTTTCAGTCTAAAGACTTTTTCCCAGAAGGAAGAGTTTTCAAACAAGATCTGGGACAGATGTTTTGGGAGGTGTTAATGTTTATAATCTAGCAAATGTTGACATTCCCTACCTCATGCTCCCTCCCCACATTTCCACAGCTCCACTGATGGTCACCCTTGTTTCCTAACAATTGATGGATTCTCTGGCAGACATTTAAGAGGAACAAGTTGTAGCTCAGTAGGCCAGAAACCAGCAGAGATTGTTAAGGTGAAAATGTCTTGCTATGTGGATATTCAAACCCATGTGAGTTAACATTCGTGCTGACTACATTTCCTTTAACCTCATTAGCACTTCATCTTGTTTCCCCAAGCATGTTGGTGGAGCAGCTAGTTGACCTTAGAGCCTTTTGCTAGGTAATTCATCAAAGCAGCAGTGAACGCTTAAAAGAAAATGCACGTAAATACTGCATTAGGAACCTTGGCTCACAAAGGCATGAGCATTTCTACCCATATCATTAGCTCTGGAATACAATCCATATATGTGAAAGAAAAGGGACTTTGTTGTTTGGGGAAGATGGAAATACAATGCTTACTAGTTGCATCATTATGCAAATTGTATAGTTTAGTTATTTTGTCTTTAGTTAAAAAGCATTTCATCATTTATTAGCTATTCTCATAGAAAACAAGCTCAGACTGTAAACACATTACCTGCAGAATTAAGAACAAGTTACTTAATTAAAACCCTTCAAATGGTAGAGGGCAAAGCATTTTCAAACAGGGAATTGAGATTATCTCAAACTTAGATTATGTCTTCTTTTCATCTTTAGAGTTTTAAACTGTGCCTCACAGCACACTGATTTAGTCATTTGATTCCTATATACATGTGGTTGAACTAAATATAAGTATATGTCACCAGAACTTCTTGTCATTGCACCAAATTTACACCTGGAGACATGCTAGCTATGTTTGTAATGACATGAACGAGCTGCCATGGACAGCCAGAGTTTGGTCTTGAGGTACTGAGGCCTTCATTGTCAAAGATGGGTTTAGATTCCTATTATTCTTCAGAGACAAGGAATAGTCATCTCCTTGGTATACTCTAGGGTCAGGCCAATGCCACAGTGCAGGAGATGATTGCTCTCAGCATGTTGTGTGTCTGATTTGGAGCCTTTGGAATTAAACAAACCTGTTACTCATCAGGCAGGTATTGGAATGCCACTCTTCATGGTTAATGATGAAAATAAAATTCTGATGGACTCCTTAGGGGAGAAGATCAGTAGATCAAAATGATCATGAACCAAAATATCCTTCCAAAGAACCTCAGACCAGTGAGCAACCACAGTTCAGTCTTTCAGAGACACTCTGTATGTTCTGTAATCTGATGCTGCAAGGTATTGTTTCATGGAGGGCCACCAAGGCACAGCTTCAGTCTTTACCTTCCAATTTATTGTATTCTTGTTAGAAAGTAGCACTTTGGGGATTCTGTTAACCCTTTGCCTCTTTTTAGTTCTCCTGCTGAGCAGCAGATACCCTTACATACTCCTCTTATTGCTATCTATATTGGTGGCTTATGTCAGTAATATGATTTATAATGCATTTTTGTTTTCATGAAAGCTGGTTTTACTCTGCTGATTCCATTAGGTCAGACACTCACTGAACAGGCACCTCCTATTCCATTTTACTGTGTAACTTTTAAACATGACCCAACAAGCTAGAAAAAGTTCAGTGCACTAACTCATTGTCATGTAAAATATGCACAAACATTAATGACCAGCTCTGCCTGTTGAACCACCAAGGAGGTGTGAGAGAACTGCAGTGGTTATGGCACCAGTGTGGAGATGGTATGGAAGGACTGGAGCAAGGTATAACTCTCTTCCCTTAGCAAAATGTCCCGACCTCAAGGTTGAAAAGATGTTCACACTTGTGTTTATAAGTACTTCTGATCAATTATTTCCTGCAAAAAAACTGGAAGAGGAAGCATCAAAAACACTCCCAATTATAGCTCATTTATGGCAAGTGGAACAAGTATGATCCTAAGCAGCTGGGAACAGTATTGAAGCTCTTGTGATTATTGTATATGAAGCAGCAACAAGAGGATTTAAACAGTAGACTTAACTCCACAGAGGAACTTCAAGGGCTATACACCTCTATCACGTTTTCCCCGTCTACAAAATGTGCAGGTAGTGTGTCTGCAGGTATTTGGGAAGACTGCTGGGAGAGATTTATGTAAAGTCCTCTGAGATTTTTGCTGTAAAATATGCCATGTGCATGGAAAATATAGTTGCCATGTAGTCAATGGGAAAATGTTTACAGTTAATGTTGAAGTATGTATGTCTTTGCAGCCTTTAAAAATGCACTGCAAGAGTTGTGCATTGGTAACCAGCTCTGGACACCTTCTGGGAAGTAAGCAAGGTGACAGAATCGACGAGACAGAGTGCGTAATACGAATGAATGATGCACCTACTCGAGGTTATGGAAAAGATGTTGGAAACAAAACGAGCCTTCGAGTCATTGCACATTCCAGTATTCAGAGGATTTTGAGAAATCGCAATGAACTCTTAAATATGAGCCATGGTGCTGTGTTTATCTTCTGGGGTCCCAGCAGCTACATGAGGAGGGATGGCAAAGGCTTGGTGTATAATAACCTGCAGCTGATGAATCAGATACTGCCTCAATTAAAAGCATATATGATTTCTCGCCACAAGATGCTTCAATTTGATGACCTTTTTAAACGGGAAACTGGGAAAGACAGGTGAGAACTTATGTGGATACATTTGGGGGATGCCACACAGTAGTAAAATAACATAGTGTATGTATGTATGTATATATATATATATATACACACACACCAATTTCATACCTGCTGAGAGGGACCATGGGACCATCACGCCCATTAAATCCTCCGCCTCATGACTTGTAATATGGTATGACATGCCAAATAACATCACTTGTAACATAAGTAAAAAACATGCATCAAAATAATTTGTATGGAATATTGCCTCATCAACTTAGAATAGCAGAATCTGGATGTACTGTATACAGCCAAGAAGGCAGGAGCTGTTTAAATCTCACTTTGGAGTAATATACCTGAAAGTTTTTTTACTGATTCTGAAAAATCAGAATGGATAGGTTATGTTTTCTTATAGAAAAAATGCCACCATTCAGTGAATTATAATAGCTGGTTATTGAATTTAAGCATTCTTGAAACATTGCAGCTGTAAAGCTTCTTGTAAAACAAATAAACATTAGTCATACATTAGGTGCTTCAGAATAGTTCATCTTATATTTCCAGCTGGGAAAAGGAAAGTTATTATGATAGTTACATCTTTATGAGACTGTTTATGACTTGTAGGCTGATCTTGAAATCAAATTCTTAATAAGAAGTGACCCACTGCAGGACTTGAGCATTTTCACATATAACGTTTGAAAATGGGCATTTAAACCAAAGACTTCCTAGCAAGAAATAAATTTATTTTTAATGAACTCCTGTTTTTTACATATTAAGTATACTGCTGTAAAAATGGAACCGGGTCCAAATGAAGAGGTAGGTTTGTTGTGCTCAGGGTGAAATTTCCTAACTTCACAAATACTATATATACACACCAAAGCTTGGAGCTGGGCTCAGTCCTCTGGTGGACAGGGAGGATTCAAGAACATGGACTTTGTTTTCTGAGCTGCACAATTTACAAAGGCATTGAAGTTAACAAAGCTGTAGCTGCACTGTAACGTGGGCCACCATCAGGCCCTAAGGGTCAGACCCTGCACACAAGGAATACCCACTGCCACCGCCTTTCCTGGATCACTCTGTCAGTGTAAAACCCCTGGCAATCCCCAGTTCTGAGGAACGGTTTACCTCCTCTGTTTCAGTGCAGCCAGTTCTGCCATGGGGAGCCAGGGTCCCAGGCCTTTCCCTGACACTTGCTGTGCAATTTCAGGCGAGCTGCTTTCTGCATCACTTGTCCGGAGCAGGAGGCCTATAGGTGCGCATGTGATGGAAGCGTTTCTTTTTCTGCACAGGCACCAGGCTCAGTCTTGGCTCCTAAAATATTCTCGAGACATTTGAGACATTAATGACATTATAACAAGTTTATAGTGGACTCAGTCATGGGCACCCTGAACTCTCAATGTTAATCAAGGGCACTTGGCTGCCAGCAAAATTCAGCCTCATGAACAGGTCCTGTTGC